ACCATATCTGCTCCATTGTGAGTCGGCGAGCTTGCTCGCCGATTCCGATTTCGACAAGAGGAGCCCGTGGATGCCGCAATGTATCGTTGCTCCGGATTTGTAAGGTGTTCTACGATCGTTCGTTCAAAGGGGCAACGTGTAAATTTGCAGGGCGTATTGTCCGCAGTTCGTTTTTCTAGCACGCGTATACTGCGAAAATCGCTGATAGGGTTTCCTACGGCCCCATCAATGGCTCTACGAGCTATTTTAACACCCAAGAATGTATAGGCGGTTATTCGGTAATTTGAGATGTGCCATAGATCGTCGTCCTCCAATATCTCTATCACCGAACTGAGTCGGATAATATTTGACGTCTTCCGGTGACTTTTCATCCAAGTGGGCATCTTGGCGAGGCGTTGGTAATGGTCGCTGACATGTTGATATTGGCGGTCAGCGTCCATGAGAACGCAGTCGTGAATTTTAGCGATGGCGGAATTGAATGATGCTTTAAGCTGATTTCTGTAATATTCATGCATGTTAGTTAAGACGAATGGCACAGCAAAATCTGGTTATGGGACTCAAGAGGTGTATTATTCTGATTGCTGAAACTATTTATTTTTATGCTGCAAAGAAGATCGGAAGAGAGGGGGGGGGGGGGGAGGGAGGAAAAAAAAGAAGGAAGAACACTTACCCGCAATCAGCACTGCCCATATCAGATAATAAATATGAGGCTCAAGCGTAGATGAGCCAATAGCAGGAATACCACAATCTTTCGAATATACATCTATGTCGTAACAGACACAGATGTAATCGGCCCCTCTAGCAAAACAAACCCCTCGCTCAGAACAGCGCGAGGGGCAGAAGCTTCGATCAACAGAGTGGGCCATCTGAAAAAAAATTGATAAGATCATAAGAAATTACTATTACGAACACGACATGACGAGTTCAACGCACAAACAATCACATTATTGCGAAATTAAGCGACAACGAGAAGACGGGATATTAGACTAATCTAATCAAAGTTAACACGGCAGAAAAGTGGACGAACAAGCAAAAACTAATGCAGAAACAGACAAATACGAGATAGCAGGCAGTGGCAGCGAACATATGGACAAATGAACGCCAAAAACCATCATAGTGTTCCAAATGACGCAACGATTTTGAATTGCGGCGTCACCCGCCGTAATCAATTAGGCCGCGACGCGCGCACGCCGCGCGTCGCGGCCTAATTGATCCAATACGGGGGCCAATACGACTATCCTTCCAGAAATCACAACCTCCCAAGTTAACAATCCTAGCGTTACCGCAAATCCTCCGGAAGGCATCACACCTTCCACAATAACTATCCACGTGCCAACACAAACCTCCCAAAGCTTCTTACGCCGGAGGGTACTCCTTACCACGCCCAAACCTCCTCGTAAATTGCGCACTATCGCACGACCACAACCACGCAATTGGGAGAAACCTCTTGGAGCCATCTCTAGCTTACTCAAACTATGTCTCTCTCCCCGACCAGAGCCACACGAACCCAGTACTACTATCGCTTAAAACACGATTATCGAGGACTACTCAGCGACGCTGTTTTAACCCAATCCCGGCACCTCTATGCCTTCCCTGCAGCCAAAGTACACATCTTACGCGGTACTGTCAATCACCCATGCCCTTCCATAAAAGAGCCCGCATACTCCTTCAAAGATACAGGCTCTGTCCTCGCTGCCTCGAGCCATCCCCTAAGAGAATGCACAGAGAACCCAGTGTGCTTCCGTTGCAACGCCACTGGCCACGTTACCGCCATTTGTCAAGATGCACCTGTCACATTCTTTTAGTCCCGGGGACCGGGACTTTCCGAAAGAAAATCATGTACGAAAAGCGTTAAATACGGTAATGCGCTATTGGTCCCTGCACTCTTGCCCCGCCCCTCGCCAACTATATAAGCAACTACGCCCCTCCCTCAGAGGGAGAGAGAGGCACCGAGCTAGCCGGCTCCGGCCGGCTCAACGACAAATAATCATCAACTCATTTTCATCATTACTTTATGTGTACCCCTTTTCTTCGTTACTCTCCTTCCTCCTACATATGTTCTCAGTGCTTTTAACTTCCCCTATATTCTCAGGTCCCTATTAATATAGATTGAACTCCATTTCATATCCTAGCTCTGTCCTGATGTACTCTATCCTGCACCCTTTGTGCTGCCCTATGATATCCTTTCTTGTTAATAAACCTTTAGTTAAAGAAAGATGTTGCTGTAAGGGAAGAATGCCCATATAAAAAGGTCCGACATTGTCGTTACTGATTCAAAGTCACTCTTAGGTAGTTTCTAACAGGGGTCAGTCATTATTATATTACAATATTAGGACACGTAAGTTTTTGAAACTTTTTACATAATGTTGTTTGGAGTAATATTATAGAAACATAGCCTAATTTCGGCGTCATGTGATTGTTTGTGCGCTGTAAACAAGCCATCTGTTTGTTTGGGTCTTACTTTTAAAATTTACTTTTAATACTTTTAAAATAGTTTTAAAATTCGCGCGCTTGTTAAAGACGTTCAACTCGCAAAATATGACATGTTTGTCGGTTTTTTTCGTTGTTTCGCCCAGGACTTTATGAAAACGATATCCCCGTTGCCTCTAACCTCAGAAACGAAGTCCAGTTTGACCTCGAACCATCTCTGCCGGGCCCTGATGGTACATAGCTAAGGTCAGCGCCGGAATACGAGGAATACCTCGGGAGATTTTCTGGGATGCTATCCAAGATTTTAGCGGGCCTATAACCAAGTTTTAGAAGGGGCCGGAGGCAGCCATGCCCCCAAAAAAGCTAAACTGCATAAAAAATCTTAACCATTTCAACTGTTCGCGAATAGAGAGGAGTTACCAGCGCTACTTATAACCGGTATTCGGTAACCGTATAATCGGTGGCTTGGAGATTTCGCGAATTATCAGGAGTGGTAGTAATTTGGTCGAAACCATCATGTTAACTGAGTTTTCATAACACCAGCTAACCAGCAGCTTCACATCATTTTCTCAACGAAACCACGAATTAACCAACAGGAAAACTCGAAATGCTATCTTGCAAAGCAAAGTCATTGGAGGAGATCGAAACTCAAACCATTCTCATGCTTGCCCGCAATCATTGCACTTTACCAAACTTGCAGTTCGGTGTGCAGCTTCTCATTCTTTCATGATGGTTGATTTTACTAAGCAGCATCTATACACTGAACTTCTCAATATAGATTAACGAATGAACTTGTTGCCAGTGGCTAAGAGCTTCTCATTCGAAAGCCTACCTTAACACTTTGTCGTCAGGAGATAGTGGTGCGTTATCAAATTAGGATGCGTTGTTAGGAAGTACTGCTGGAGACATATTGCAGATGTCAGCGCGGACGATGTGCCTCGTAGGCGCCATAGGAATATTGAATACGTTCGCAGTGATCCGTGCGAGGTCTTTTCAAGTAACAGAACGTTCATACGCTTTAGATTTCGCTTTACTGAAAGGGAGCTATTATGGCTCACGACGCTTTTGTCATCGAAACTAGCGTATGACACTAGCAAATCTTGGGCTATCTCAAAGAAACAGCAGGTAGAGTCTGCTATGGCCTTCACGATTGGCAACTTTTTGCTGCACTTCCAGAGAAAAGCTTTTAGGTGGCCATAGGTGTTAGATATCTTGCAACGAACTCGCACCAAATTGTTCTTGGTGACACTCTGAAGTGCTGCCAAAAAACAATTTCAAATGTGGTGCACAGGGTGGTTATGGCGCTAAATCATCCGGAAATAGTGTCACAGTTCATCGTTTGTAAGCCGTGGGATACACTCTAGTGCAGAAATAGGGCTAGCGAATTCGCCAGGCTCGGAAAATTTAGCAGTGAGTGGACTTTCAGTGCATTACAAGAGAAATATAACTTATTAAGATGTAATTGGCTGCATCGACGGAACTCTAGTGCCAATCCAGAGTCCTCCCGGAGATGGCTACGTATACATGAGCAGGAAGGGATTCACCGCCTTAAACGTCTGCGTAGTTGTAGATGCAATTGGCCGTATTCTCTACGTTAACAGTGGCTTCCCAGGCTCTGTACATGATGCGACTGTTTAGAGGCGATGCGCTCTTGGCCAACAGTTCAATTCTGGTGAGACATGCGCAAGCTATGCGCTTCTTGGAGATTCCGGGTATGCAAATGGAAACGGCATCATGGCGCCCTACCGCCCAACAAGTGTTAGAGGTGATTTACTGAAAATGCGTTACAACCGCGAACATCGCCGTGTACGCGCCGTGGTGGAGAGGACTATAGGGAGATGGAAAAGGCGCTTTACAATACTGTGCACCGGGATGCGAGTCTCACCGGAATTCGCATCCAAGATAGTCATTGCTTGTGCAGTGCTGCACAACATGGGTTATTGTGTAGGGGCCACAAAGTGGCCATGTCTTGGGCACACGTTGGCTACCATGCCACATCCGCCAGCCAACACCCGGGACGTTCGTGAATATGTTATGAGATTGCTTTGAAGAAACAACTTTATTTTGAAATGGTCAACAAACGATAAACACTATGTATTAAATGTCTTTTAATAAACATTCTTTCATTCAAAGTTCTCTTCTTCTACAGTTGTCGTTTCCTTTTTGGAGTTTGCTTAAAAGGTTCAATTTGATGATTCAAACTTAGTGCACTTACTGAAAAACGAACCCTTTGGCTTAGTAAATTCTAAGATGCTCTCCAGACCCCTCTTTTGCAATTCGGCCATTTGAATAACTGCTTCGCACATCCTTGTTTGTTCCTGTGAATATTTTTTGATGACCAGTTGCAGTCAGAGCCTACAACTTTACCTGAAGCATTGTTCGGAAATATTCCAGAGCTTAGTCGAGTTTTTCGTTTAGGGAGTTTTGGAAACATTCAAAAGTTTTGTTAGATTTCTCATTCGCGCAACTTTCAGACTCCCCCAACTCTTCGTCTGATACGTCCGAATCAACCAAAGCATCTATTTGCTAAATTCGTATCTTGAACTAAATTAGAGTAGGCATTCAAGTCATTACATTGAAACTTTCCAAACTTGTGCAGGCGGAAGATTCATTACTTCGAGATCCACCAGCCATCCTTTCCTACCAAATACCAAAATGATTATGAACTAAATCAAAATCGTACTGAGACAAACGAACCCCTTTTTTGACATGATTGCGTGTTGATTGTTGATTGATTGATTGATTGATTGATTCATTCATTGATTGTTCTGAGTGGCCCACAAGCAATTCATCTTTTTTCCCCTTCTCTTTTCCATGCCACTGCAATGCGATACTTCAATTGTGCCATATGCATACCTCATTCACTCTCAATGTGTCCGCGTTTGGAAGACCCCGAGCCGTTGTTCTTTGGTTGTAGTAGCTTTTCAACTCAAACTCTGTCTTTGAAACATTTTCTTCCTTAAAAATAGCTTCCTCTTCAAGTTCTCTTCCTCCGCCTGTTTTTTTGCGGTACCTGTCATGTGCTTGTTTTGTACAGGAAGTTAGAGTGCTTGAACTTACTTTTTTTCTCTAATTTCAAGCGATAACGCCTTTCTTTTCCTATTATTAAAGTGCTGTTGCACTTGTTTGGGGGTCAGTGCGACGTCGAATTTTTCGAAAAGCTTCTTTGAAATTGTTTTCCAAACATCTTTCCTGTGCTCATTTGCACTCAAGAAGCGGTCACTCTGACCCCGAAGAAGAATACGCTCATTCTTGAGCACCATATTGACGATGAAATCTGAGGCCTTGCCTTTCAAAGGAGTAGTTCTCTTATCACTGATTACGCTGCGATCTGAATGGCACGTTCGAACTAAGCATCCAATGACTTGCTCTTGGCAGTTATTATATGATTAGTCACTATCAGCTAACTCAATTTTGTCCTCACGACAGATTGGAGACCTGCTAGGACGCAGTGGCAGTTAATCAGCTCATGGCACGTTGAAAATTCAATTTCGAGGTTATTTTACTTCTGAACAAGATTCCTCGCTGTCAGAGAGCTTTGAGCCGCCTGCCTCTGGCCTCATATGAATTCTTGGGCGGTATTTATCAATCTCTTATATTGAAAGGGGTTGCTGTACAGGTAACAGCCCGTACAGGAGCGGGCATTGGAGTCCTCGATACTCGAAGTCAAGCTGGGGATTAGGGTTCTGTCTACTGGGGGATATGGTCAGATGGCAAGTTTGGCCATGTCGAGCACCGCCTTCGGGCAGCAGAACCAGATCTCGAAACTCGCGCTGCGTCGCCCGAGGCACAGGTGCGATAAGGTGAGAATGACTCCTCCAGGGTGAAGGAGGTCACAGTGGTCGCAGCCCCTTTAGGGTGAAGGATGTTTCACTTGGTAGAGAAATTATAGAATCTTAAGCGAGCTCAAGTACAGGCTTTTTTACCATTGTAAAAAGGCGTCTACTTCAGCACACCCATTATACTCACCCACCCCTCACCCAGCACTTTTTCTAAATGTCCCCAGGCAAGGTACATATTTTCAGAAAGCAGAGGACGAGATGGTTCCAGTGGTTACCATCAAGGCGTACAGGGTCTTCATCTACAGAAGTTATGAATTTTTTATTTTGAACTCGATCTCCAAAAATCACTGAGCACACTCTTCAACCAGGCATTTTTTTTGGATCGATCTGAGACACACTGTATTTCGTCCAAAAAAAGGAGGATGAGGCGGTTCTAAAGGTGACCATCTCGCCGTGAAAGATTTTCATCTACAAAAGTTATGAATTTTTTTATGTCAAAAACTCGAAAATGTCCAGAAATCACTACTCACACCCGTCATTAAGCACTTTTTTTAATAGACTCCTCCTTTCCTATACATAAAAAATTTACGTACAAATATCTTCTTTGCTCAACCTTACCTCACTGTTGATTTTTTTCTCGGCTTTTGGTGAAAGGGGTCACCTTGGTCCCTCCTCATGGGTGAAGAGAGGGTGAGAAAATTCTCACATTATCGCACCTGTGGTTTGAGGGCATGCCCGATATGGCCAAACTTGCCATCGGACCACATTCTAAAGTTTAATGCTCACCGGATTGGCGTCCTCGTTTTCGTTTGGGCACTCGTTAATAATGGCCCGAAGATCGAGTCGGAGATTGATAAATGTCGCCCCTTGAGTCAATTGTAATTCAAAAAAGCGTAACCCACTGTGTGTTACGTCCATTCCGGCGTCAATAGCACAATAGAATGATTATTTGACCTTACTTTAGTGCTATACGCGTTAATACGTTGAAACCATCACATCATTGTTCAAAACGAAAAAGTGGTCGGGGGTACTTTTTCATTTTAAACTATGATGTGGTGGTTTCACGTCTGCGTCTCATGAAATGAAGTGCTGTTTTCATTACTCTATCTGATAAGGAAACAATGATGTTAACCTGCTGTTTAACTCATAGTTTGGTTTAGAATGAAACAAGCATGAAACACTCATGGTTTTCTGCTAGTTACTTGCTTGTTTCATAATTTTGTATGACCGATTGAACTGAGTGGCCGTGAAAAGATGATCATGCTTACCACGATGTAACCATGATTAAACCATCACATCATTTGATGGTTTCGACCAAATTACTACCACTCCAGTTTTTGCTTTCATACTTCAAACTGTAAAGGCAGTGTCCGGGCAAAAACTCGATTTTGAGATTTTGTGCTTACTTGGGCCTATTCGCTACGCTGAATCCGAAAGTGCACATTGGAGAGCGCGAAAACGGCGAAAAAGGGCCCTAACACAGGAGGGAAATCAGCAGGTGGGCGGGGCTTTCCCCAGTGCGATTTCACGCTCCCTGCTCCCGGAGCGATTTTCTCGATTCCGCTAGCCGTCCTAACATCGCTACCGGTCAAGTGCGAATGATTGACTTGAAATTTTTTGATTCGATTCGTGATTGATTCGTGATTGATTGATTGGATTGATTCGTGTACGTGGAGGTCTTCAGTGAATTCTCAGTAGACCTCCTCCCTTCGCACTGGTTTAACGTTAAATGGAGTGCGAAAAGCAAAAACCAATAGATTATTTCTGTGGCTGTATTCATCATTGATACCTTGAGGTAAATTCTATCATCGGCTCCACGATTCGTGTAGAGGAGGGGTTTTGCCAACTCAAAGCGTGGCGGTTTTTGATAGCGAGAGAGCACAAAAAACAATGCTATGACGTGGAGGTTGAACAAGTTTACCTGTGTTACCAGGCAAAATTTGCAATACACCTCTACACGAATCGTGGAGACGATCATTCCACGTAGTCTTATCACTCATTATCAGCAAAATTACATTGAGAATTTACCTCAAGGTACTTTGTGAATACGGGTACTTGCTGATATGAGTGATAAAACTAGAGGTAGAATTTACCTCAAGGTATCAATGATGAATACGGCCAATGAACTAAACTGAAGGATTCATGTGAATGCGACTTTCCATAGTGATTCAGGAGAATGATCCCATCAAAGAAGCAATCTTTCCTTTCCCCTTGAATCATGTGCACATCATTTAAAGCACCAGTGCGTCACCTCTGCTTCGCAGAGGCTCGCACTGCCCTACTTTATCTATGCCTTACTTATTCCCGCGTAATAATTACATTGAAACTCACCGCATTATGTAGGCTACTACGAATGATTCGTAAACAACTACTCATTCCTAGAGGTTTTTCGTGTAAGATCGGTATTTTCGCGTGGATAAAATCTATCCCAGAAGAACAGATGCAAATTTGAATAGCTTTTTGGAATTTTTGTGGCTTGGTAGTCGCCATGAGGACAATAAACATCGTAGGCTACATCTCTGTGCAAAAATATTCTCATATAATCAGGTGAAATCTTGAAAAATTGACCGTTTACACACTCAATGCTTTTTGGCGCTGTTTTCGTAAAGTAGTAGACTTTCCATCACTTTTTTAGGCTAACGTCCATGGCTTGCACATTAACTTGCCAAATATCCATAACTCTGCAAAAAGTAGTACTACGGACCAAAATTTGCTGGACAGAAGCCAGGTGGATCCGTTTGATGTGCAATTTTCAACGGATCCACTCAACGGATCCGCTCATGCTTTTATATAGTGAGCTTTCATGCTGGTAGCGTGCGCTGTGCAAAATTTGGGCTCAGGACGTTGGCTGGAACACGCTCTACGAATTTCGTAACGGACAGACAGACACACACACACACAGAGACAAAAAGACGTAAACACCCTTAGCCGGTTATTATAAGTCATGATTCTTGCAGAAGAGCGTCTTCTTTCCCCTTTCTAGTCCATATAATGGTAACAGCACTCATCGAGGAGATTCTGCGATATTGCGTGACTATTTAACACGCTTGAATCGACGCGCGAATGCAGCATCGTCGAATGTTCGGGCATTATTCTGACGACAATATCTTGCTGAGGCTGCTTTACTTTGGGTTTTGCTGCTTTCCAAAATAGTCTGTTAAGTGATGCATTTTATCATATCAGCCACTTATCTACTCTAAGCGTTTGCATTTAGGCGATTTATTATTGGAGTAGTTCTCGCAGAACAATAGTCGAACTTCTTGTATATCACCTCTGCTTCAGAGTTTCGGCAATACTGCTATAGATAGAAGTATGAAGACAAACAGTCTCTCTTTTATTTCATCTTCGTGGCAGTGATATGCATGCAATCGCTTTTGATTTGTTCAAAGTTCCTTCTGCAGAACTCATACTGTGTTTGTGAAGTGTCCCTTTGCAGATAGGAGATGTTGCCTGTGCAGATTTTGAAAGATCATGCGCAAGAAGAGCGCGGCAATACAGCTCGTCTCAGCTCATTCGTTGGGGCCATTGCCATCGGAGACCTTGTAAAATCCACTCTAGGTCCAAAGGGAATGGTATGACTTTTTCAACCCAAAATATTCTAAACATTAGATCATATCCAGGATAAAATCCTCATCAGCGGAAATGGTGAACATCAAGGAATAAAAGTCACCAATGATGGTGCTACGATCTTGAAGTCCATCGGTGTCGACAATCCAGCTGCCAAGGTTCTTGTGGGTGTGTTTTATGGAATACTAGCTTATTCAGACCTTACCCAGGCCACTGTTTCAATTTTCCATACTTCGACTGCGAGCAAACCCTCGTGTAGTAAAATAAAGTAGGCCCACCTTTCGGCATATATAGATGATATGTATCATAGATATATTTATGGATGTTTCTCATCATAAAACTTTTCTGATGACGTTTTCACGCTGTGGATCTCCCTTAGGCCCTGGTCAGACTTCGCTCAAGAGACAAACCATTATCCGTCGGAATCCGGCGCTGACCTTAGCTACAGTATATAGCTAACGCGACCATAAAAGAGGATCCGGCTGCCTCTTACTTTTTCATTGATCTTACTTATCAGATGATAAAGTGGTCATGCATTTGATATGATGTGTTGTTTATCCTCTGGGTCGTATATATAACTAATCATTTCGCTATCCATATTCAAGTAATGAATGGGGACCTGAGTTTGCTAACAACTGGTGTTGATGGATGACGTAGAAGTATCACTTACGAAATCTTGTTGTTGTTAAGGATTTCAAAACAAGATTGTCATTGGTAAGGATGACTTCATCTCCCTGAACGATGTACACGTTTTGAGAAGCAGAGGTTCTTCTAACTTCATCAAATAGAACCCTTTTATATTCTGGCGAAAAGTTATTGGGATATCTCGATAATGATAAATTCATGAGATATTCTAAAGAAACATCAGTTCCTTAGTATTTGCACGTTATGGTATATTGAGAGAGTATTCAAGATGAGGAGAATTTCCAGTACCATGGCATGATAGAGAGTAAACAAGACAAATGATAGTTTCAGGATGATCTAATGATGTGGTATAAGATTCATAATGTAATAAGTAAGATTCATAGCCAAAGGAAAGATAAGAGGCAGCTGGGTCGTTTTTTATGGTCCCGTTAGCTATGTACTGTAGCTAAGGTTCAGCGCCGGATTCCGACGGATAATGGTTTCTGCTCAAGAGCGCTCAAAAGCGCCCAGAAGCGCTCAGAAGCGCCTAAATTTCTTTGTGTCTCTTCACTTTCTTGTTTGAGGAGAGATGAGAGAGAGTGAGGAGAGGTTAGAGAAGTTTGGGTGCTTTTGAGCGCTTTTGAACTCTGGCCACGGTCTTAGGCTGCGTTCATACTGATCCAGAAGTTCAAAACATTTCCAGCACAGCGCTCAGTCTGAGTGCTGTGCTGGAACTGTTCGCGAAGTTCAGGATAGTATGAACGCAGACTTAATCTTCAAATATTAATCGGCACGACGGCCTTTTCACACAATATTTGTAGATGTGTCAATGAACCAGGATAACGAAGTCGGGGATGGGACAACATCCGTTACTGTGCTTGCAGCCGAACTCCTCAGAGAGGTTAGGTTAAGTTGTTGTTGTTTTTGTTAAGATGTTCAGTTCTTATGTTTGGCCCTGGCCAGACTTCGCTCAAAAGCGCCCAAAAGCGCTCAAAAGCGCCCAAACTTCTCTAACCTCTCCTCACTCTTTCTCATCTCTCCTCACACGAGAAAGTGAAGGGGCACCAGAGAAATTTGGGCGCTTTTGCGCGCTTTTGAGCGCTTTTGGGCCCTTTTGTGCGAAGTCTGGCCAGGGCCTTTCAACCCATGCATATAGCTTGCAATGTTTGTGTTCAAGAAGATTTTTCCTTTTTTGTTAAGTTGAGGTTACTAGAATCGTCAGTTTCTGGTAAAAGTTGCTCAAACGTTTGGACGCTGGACGAGAGGAAAGTATTGCACTGCGGAAGTGTTTGTTAGGGTTACGCACTTTACTTGTTGGGCGAAAATCCTTGAACCCGCCTTATGAGGTAAACCGCATGCTGATTTCTTGCGCGCTACAGAATTTTGTGCAGTTGTGGATGAGAAGCCTAACCATACATTCATCTTAACGTCGTGCTCTTCGGCGCGCAGCCTTTATCTTCATTGGCGTCTAGCATTGGAAAGTTACCAAGTTTCAGGTTCTGACCCACTCATCCTCTACCGTAAGCGACTGTTCTCACTTTCGCGCCTAGTACGTTCATGATCAGGGAATCTGTTAACTGCCTTGGTTGTTATTTTGAGTTCTTGGGTTAATTTTGGCGCATAGCGCCTTGTTTTTAAAACAGGTTGATGAGCGTTTGAAGAATTTTGGCTTGCATCCAGTGTGGCGCTGTAATCATGGTCATTGTTTCGCCGTTTCAATAATATCACTTTATATAGGCAGAGAAGTTGGTCAACCAGCGTGTGCATCCTCAAACGATCATATCGGGATATCGGCGAGCTTTGACAATTGCTCAGAATGCTCTTCGTCAGTCGTGCGTCAGCTCAGGGTACGCTGTCTTTTACTTTTTTCATGCTTTTTTCCTGTCACGTCCTTTGAAGTTTATCTCTTTGCTCTTAACCAGACATCTTTACTGCAATTTAGAATTGTACCTAGACCCGCACCTATATTTCTTACAGCTACGCATAGAAGAGCTATGGTCGTTCTTGCTTTCAAATATACTAGTGAACCAGTAATTGAAGATGCTAGATTGCATTCGTGCGCTTAGGGATCGCACCCCGGTTTGAATGCAGCTCACGATTCTTTATATATTAGATCTCTCAAATATCAATAATGCTTCGTATCTAGGTCAATGGCGGCACCTTATATGTAGCTAAAATGTACCCCATTATCGTCATTATATCGGCATGTAAGAACGTATTCGTGTTTTAGAGATAATCTAGAAGAAGATTTACTGAGAATTGCCCGTACTACTCTGGGCTCAAAAATTCTAAACCAACACAAGGATCATTTTGCGAAGCTTGCTGTTGACGCTGTACTCAGATTAAAGGTATGTAAATAGGCTGTGTCACCGAAATTAATGTGAGATATTTAGAGCTCAGGAAATTTGGATGCCATACAGATCATCAAGAAACTTGGGGGGTCATTGAACGAGTCCTATCTTGATGAAGGTATCCTCGTTTGTTCTTGCAGCTCACAATTAGTTCAGATTGCGTTCAATTTCAGGTTTTCTTCTCGAAAAGCTGCCAGGCATGTATCAACCTAGAAGAGTTGAGAAGGCTAAGATTCTTATTGCCAATACCCCCATGGATACTGACAAGGTCATATTCGATTATATAGCTCGTCATTGCTCAAAGTTGCACATGACAGTCCTTCTTCGTCATGCTCTGAATTTGATTTTTATGCTCATACTGTTACTTTTTACAGGTGAAAGTTTTTGGTTCAAGAGTACGTGTTGAATCTGTTGCCAAAGTAGCAGAGTTGGAAGCAGCAGAGAAACTCAAAATGAAAGAAAAGGTGCGTGGATTGTCTTCAAATATTGATCTTGTTCCTCATTTTCAGGTGGATAAAATTCTTGCGCACAATGCAAATGTATTCATCAACAGACAACTCATCTATAATTATCCTGAACAGTTGTTTGCCGATGCTGGTGTTATGGCTATCGAACATGCCGATTTTGAAGGCATTGAGAGACTAGCGCTGGTCTTAGGTACGCATTGTTCGGTCGAAGTAGTGACGGGGCTCCTATTGTACACTTGTTTGTATCTTACTTTCTAGTTTAGCATCATACCTTATCTCTTTTTGCAGGAGGCGAAATTGTTTCCACTTTCGACACACCCGAAAATGTCAAGTTTGGATCATGTGATCTCATTGAAGAGGTTATGATTGGAGAGGATCGTCTCTTGCGTTTTAGTGGTGTACCACTTGGTAAGTAGAATTTCGATTATTCTCCATGGAAAGTATTACGTTTATATTTGCTTGTACGTGTATATTCTATTTTTGAGTTTATGTGAAGTAAACATGTGGTCACCTTTTAAAGGCAGTGGATCGGCAAAATCCAACAACTCAGGATTTCAACGCGTTAGGTTCCTTATCGCCCAAGTATGAAAACAGTGCAATCCCGGTTGCACAGCATGCTTTCCCTGCCGAGAAAATCCCTCTCAAACTTACACGCGCAGGGCCAATCTTACACGCAACTGGACGAGTTGGCAATTTTCTTCTCACAATTGGAGGCTGCCCGCCGCAACGCTATAACCACTGGGTCCTGCAACGATTTAGCGTCATCCTTGCTCCACTCGTCCAATTCCAAAGGGAAGGGTATTGAAAAACGCTTATTTTCGACGTTTTCAAGCTTTCAAAAGTGGATTTTCGGGATCAGCGCATTGAATAACCTTAGATAAGCGCAAATTTGACTAGGTTGAGATTTGCCGAGCCACTGCTTTTAATATCGGGTAGATCTCTCTAGCGATCAAAACAAAATCATTGAAATTCCTATTCAGGTGAGGCCTGCTCCATTGTTCTTCGTGGTGCTACCCAGCAGATATTAGAAGAAGCGGAAAGGTCGCTTCATGATGCACTTTGCGTGCTTATTACTCATGTGAAAGAATCGAAAACTGTAGCTGGAGCAGGAGCATCTGAAATTATGATGAGCACAGCTGTCATTGTAGAAAGCCAGAAGGTATTTGAATTTTTCGCTTTGACAATCCGTACTAGTCAGGTTCCAGGTTGCTGGAAAGGAAGCCTTAGCTGTGGAGTCATTTGGACGCGCTCTAGCTCAACTACCTACCATAATTTGCGACAATGCCGGCCTTGACAGCGCCGAGCTCGTTACCAGACTGAGAGCAGAACATGCAAATGGACACCATAATATGGGGATAGGTGCATTTTTATGTCAATTAGGTCTCTGTTGTTTCAAGATTGTTTTTAGACATTGAGAATGGTCAAGTTGCGGATGTTATCAAAATGGGAATTGTCGAATCTCTCAATGTCAAGATGTGTATGGTTTCAAGCGCCGCAGAAGCTGCTGAGCAGATTGTGCGCGTTGACAACATTATCAAATGCGCTCCACGACCACGTGGTCCGGATAATCGGCCATGTTAGTTGCCAAATATCGGAAATGTTACACAATGTTTTGTTTTTCTTTTGTTATTTCTTTCTCTTTACTGAAGACCTCGTTACGCCACAGCTTTGATCTGCACGAGTTGTCAATGATGTTATCTCCGATTGCTTGAGATGAAAAATGTTCAAGTCATCATCTCGAGTGCTTGTGCCCGCATATTCATGCACTATGTTGTTTTTCTTTACCCTCTTCAATCTCAATAAATTCGTGCAAGAGGTCTTGATTGAGTTTTGTGCGTAAGAATGAAACAGAAATAATTCAGGGCAAGATCACTTCGGTCCAGTATGAGTATAGTAGAAGCTGCTCAAATCGCGTGTATCAAGCACTTTATGCGAAAGGATGGTTGGTGCGGCTACCGTAATCTCACATACACCTCAACGATTTAAAAGAACACTAAGACAAAAGCGTTCATTAATCCGCTAAGCGGTTCACAATCACTGAGATCCCAGATGCGCTACATCGTCGAATATAATGAGGAAAAAGTTTTATTCCAAGGGGGTGTTACCAAGGTTGCCGATCGTTGTAAAACCTTATAATGCCGCTGTGTTTTATCCGCACTCTAGACAGCAAGCCCGGCAATCTTGGGGCGGTGTATGAATCTCTCAAATTGATAAGAAAATACAAATTTATTCTGGTTTTATAAAAAGATACGTACAGTCTGCTCCAATTGGGATCAGGCCGAACCGTCGGCGTAAATTTGCGCGCTCGCAGCGCTAGCGGTCTGCGCTGCATGTGCGCGCTGTTGGAGAGAGCAAAAAGATTGAAGAGAGGGCAGAGAAGCAGGCCGTGGGCGTGACCGCGAAACCCTGGCGACGCGGTCTCCCGCCATGCCAATTTTGGCCTGGTTGGGATTGGGGCAGACTGTATAAGACAGTGGCGTACCCAGGATTTCGGCTCGGGGGGGGGGGGGGCGATAAAAAATTTTTTTCTAATGAAGGTGCGCGGCGTCAGCCACGCACTCCGAAAAATTTTTTGGGGTGTTTCCCAAAATTTTCCCGGGGCCCTGACCCCAAAATTTCAGAAAAAGGTGGCGCGGCGGCACGCCCCCGAAAAAAATTTTTTACAAGGCTAATTTGAATTTTTAAAAATTATTTTAATTATTTACAAGTAAAAACAAGTCCTCTGCACATTTTTATAACACATTCAAGTAACTTTCGGAAATTTCGCGACCCATTCTGGGGGGTGGGGGCGCCACTCCTCCCCCTCCCCCCCCCCTCGGTACGCCACTAATATAGATCATGATCAGCTTGGAACGCTGTTTACAAATATGCTTAACTGCGAAACATTACTTTGAAGCGAGTTACAGTCCTGGGTGCCCACCGGATAGGCAGCAGAGCTCGATTTCTCCAGATTGGGCTCCGAATCTCTTGCGGTCTTAGTATTATATCGAATCAAACTTGCTTCCTTATCATCGGCTCCCAGATTCGTGTGGAGGCAGGTTGCGGACTTCCCTGATTTTCAGGATGAACTTGTTCTTCCACGTTATAGAATTGTATTGCGTACTCTCTCGTTAAGCTGTCTTCAAAATCAGGGAAGTCCGCAATCCGCCTCCACACGAATCTGAAAGCTGATCATAAACACGGTTCATGACACGCAAAGACTGGGCGCCGTTGCGTACGGCCAAGATAGTTTGTGCATGGGAGAGACAGTAGATAGTAAGAGAAAAGCGCGCTCGACCAAGGAGACGCCGATATGTCCGCAGTTTTTGCGTGCTATGAATCGCCTGTACTTATAATCGGCTCGCAGATGCGCGTGAAGGTGTATAGCAGACTTTGTTTGGTAACAAGGATAAACTTGTTGAACCTCCACGTTATAGCATTGGTTTTCATATTCTCTCGTTAGGAAAAACCGCCACGCTGTGAGTTGGCAAGACTCCGCCTCCACACGAATCTAGGAGCGGATGATTTTGATGGCCCGTCCTCACTCGTCGTGCTTGAGCCAACTTCTGACCATTCGTTGCGGTTTCGGGCAGTCTTCACCCATGATTGTCTTGGTACGCCTCTGCCATTGCTGGATGATCCCAAATTAGATTTCAACTGCTGACGCAGCGGTTTATACGAGTAACAAATTCGTCTCTTTATCTCTTCGGTGGTCTACCACATAGACGGCTTTGGAATCCACTCCAACCTTCTCTTTGTCCATCTATCGTCTTCTCTTCTGATTATTCCAGCCCATCTATGTTTGTTCTTCGATACGTGCACTGCTGGACCCTATAGACGCGAAAGGCCTAAGGTCGACCTCCGAATCTCAAGTCGATATCGTTTGAAATTCGTTATCTTTAGAAGTTTCCTTTCTAGCGCCCTGTACGCTGTTATCTGGCCTTTATATTGCTGGGGTGTCAGCCCAGATTTCGGCTGCGTAACAAGAGATGGAAGAACTGTAGCATTATGAAGGTGAGCACGTAGTTTGGGTCAGCACGATATGCTGCCTGTGCCGCTCTCCGTCTTCTGCTAAGTTCGTCCTTCATGTCATTGTTCATGTGATGGTGTGTCCTAGGTAAACGTAGGATGTGGTCTCTCCATCGATGATCCAACTTGCGTCAAATTTTAGCTCTAAAGAATTTCTTGAACAAGACAACTGTCAAGTCTTAACCCGGAACCCGGCGTTTTCGTAGTGCTTGTTGAAGTATTGCCTGAGATTCCGGCTTGGATATCAAGGACTTAGTAAAACCGTGTTCCACAGAAGCACGGTAAATCAAAACCACCAATGCACCAAAAATCCGCTAAACCCCAGCACATTTCTGGTGCATCGGCCAGAAAAGGGCCCAGCTAAATAGCAAGTCAAATTTGCTGAATCTTGTCGAAATCAAAATAGAGTTGGTTTTGCAAGAAAACCTTCTCAGTATCAGCGCCAAGACGCTGAAAACTTTGACGAATAATGTCAAGGAGTATATGGGGAAGTAAGTAGATTCCGCAAAAATTAAAGGCAGTGTACCGGCAGATTTTGCACCTCCACCTTTTTGCATGTTTTAGGCCTTTTCGCCACGTAGAATCCGAATTTGAGCTTTGAAAGGGTTGAAAAGGCCGATTTTGGGGCGTTTTCCTAATTCCAGAAAAGCAGCTTTGACGAGATTTTTGATGGAAAGTTGGGGGAGGTCCTCAGACGAAGATCCTGCCGCCTGTAATTCTTGCTTTGGATAGCATGCATCATGGTGAAGAGCGCTCGTGGGGTCCCGCGCCGAACAGGCGGGGAAGGCCGTCCAAGCGCGCGCCAGTTAGGGTTGCGCGCGCCGGTTCAGGGGCCATTTTCTCGGCCCAGGGAAAACATCACCCAGCCGGAGTGCGCCTGGAGGGCGATGGGGTGACCAAGAACCCCACCACACGTATATCCTCCAGGACTCGAATCTGCCGGGACACTGCCTTTAAGCCGGCCTACGGAGAAAGTCAAGCAGATACAAGCGCTCCGGTTTGCGATCCAACCACAGCTCAACTGCCTATGATAGAGATATACCCAGCTATATTAGTCCAAAACGTCCGCAGCATAACGGCCGTCACTTCCCGCTAGCTGCACCCCAATTCACAAAGTCAGCCACCGCCAATCCGTCGCACCCCCAAAAATTTCACCGTCGCCCCACCGTTGTCTCGCCAACCGATAATTCCCCCAGTAATATGCTTGTTCGTTTTCCTTTTTAATAGTTCCCTTTTCCCTCAATCATTTCCTATTTTCATCCCCGCACTCAACTGTTTATCGTCTGGTCACGTTTGATTTCCCATTTTTCCGCTTTTCTCTGCTGCTGTTAACACTCTCGATCCAATGCATACATGCTAACCGATGTGAACATTGATTTTCTTCTGTTTGCACCGCTTTCCAGTTCCGCTATCAGCTTGTAAAATCATTTATCTGAAATTAATCTGTTTCCATTTCTCCTCGGCCGGAGTGTCACATCCGACGCTATCGTAATTTCTTACCCGATGATTTTGTACTGATGTTTTGTATGTTTCCGCGACCCAATTCGCAAAACAGTGTTTTTGTTTTGTTTGCGATTTGCATTCAACAAAGGAAGCTGTAAGCTGGCAGTTTTCTGAACAGTTGCAATTCTGGTTCCTCCCTTTTGGAAGGCCATTTTGACTGAGTTGTAAGCCGGAGAATCCGGCGTTTGCGTAGTGCTTGTTGAAGTATTGCCGGTGATTCCGACTTGGGAATAAAGCAGTAAGTAAAACCGTGTTCTACAGAAGCAGGGTAAACCAGAAATCCGCTAAACCTCAGCACATAACGGCAGCATCCAGACAAATCTGGACATATGGGGATCTCGCATGGATAGTAATTTTGGGGCCTTAACTAAGCCGCTGCCCAGCCTGCAGCTCAGGTAGTGCTCTACAGCTGAGATATTCCCCTCGAAACTAGACCTCTGGGTCGTATTTCGCATGGATTCATGGCGCAACCCATCATTTTCGCTGAGTCCTCGGGCGAAACCGATGGGATGCGCCCTGAATCCATGCGAAGTACGATCCTGGAGTCCAGTATGGAGGCTCTCAGCCGTTAGTGAGCCACCTGCGCTGCCGCTTTGCCCACGTAAAATCCGCATAGGTCAGATTTGCCTGGACGCTGCCTTTAATGCTTTCGTGCTATCAAAACATATTTTGTTCGATTATTTGTTATTCAGTTGGTGGCGTGATTGAAAATTCCATTAGCTTCGATATAACAATCCGATCATTAGATCATACCAAACTCCTTAACAATATGTTACAACTCCATCAATATATAAAGAAGGAATTTTTGATCGAGAATGCATACGGCAGCAGTTAAGTTTGTAATCACTCATAGGACAAGTAGTGAAGGTGATAACTACATGCTTTGCCTTTATTACTTCGAGTCCACTGCACCAAAGCGCGAAGAAAAGATCAACCGATGAGAATAATTATGATTAGTAAAATATGCACTGGAGTGTGAGAGTGCCCAAATTGCTGCAGGGGTATGCCCATGTTTGAGCTAGCGATGCCGTCGCGCGTCTTCGTCACTAGTTGCTAGCGGATTGACGATTGGAGCTAGCGACGGTCTCATCGCTTGAGGTAAGCCCGGCCCTTCACACAGCCGGGCTCTCGCTCACCACAAGAGTGGGAGCGCGCGTCTGATCGGTATGCGAACCAAATGAGAACATTTGCTTGAAGGGGTGATTTATACATCCCGCCCGACGTTGCCAGGAAAGTATAACTCAGGGTCATGCGTATCGATGCTATTCAGGGCCGTCACTTACAACCCACCTCCCGTTACTGTATTATAAATCCCAACTGGTCATCGACTTGGAACAGTAGTCAAACCAGGCGTAGAGGGATTGCGCAGCTGCTGTGACTGCACAAACTTCGCTAAAAATGACTCGCTGAAGTTGTCCTTCAGAAAGGATGGAAATCAAGTGGTGCGCACTTGCATATGCTGAAACTGGGAACTCAAAAAAGTACTCAAAGTTGAAGTTCAGTAATCATAATGAACCAGTCACGATCAAAATTGGAATTTCTATGTTTTCGATGTCTTCCA